TTATTTTTGTTGGAAACTGTAGAAAATGGTCAATTAATTCCACTTTCAAAATATTTCTCAATAGAACTATTCATTTGTCACAAGTGCGCCAACATTTTTTTCTGGCAAGTGCCAGTGGTATGTTACAATGATTTGTGAAATACCTGGTGCTGCACAAAACAAGCAAAAATGGTGCAGCTAAACAGCACACCTATATTCTTTTGCATCAGAGTGTCTTCCTAAGCCTTCTATAGTCCGCTAATTCCACATGAAACCTGAGATACCCCTGTGGAGTAATCATTCATTTTTTTATTATATCCATGATTTACCTACAAACAACAAAAACCAAAAAGTTGCTTTATAATAAAACGGTCTTAGCAACCTTACTTACATCAAACAAAAATTTAATTTATTCATTATTTGTAATTACATAACAAAATTCGATTTACACACAGAAAAAAACTAATTTAAACACACTAACAGAAAATTGATTTAAATATATCAACAAAAATCGATTTGACATATTTTTTCATTAAAATGAATTTTTCAAATAGGAAATTTCTTAAAGAATTTGGAAATAAATAGTATTCAGGATACTTTCATAAGGGATCAAGACTTGGGTGTAATCACAATGGAAAATGTGTCACACTGTTTTTGCTTGTTCTGCGCAGCACAAATTCGCCTGATTATGTGATCTCACTATAAATACACAGATTCACTACAAAAGACCAAGGACAGCTCTTTCGCAGGGAAGTCACCCAGGGCACCAAACGTTTCCTTAAATTATTTTTAATTTTAGTATTATAAAAAATATTTGTTGTCGTGATTTATGGGAGAACTTAAGTCTTTAATTTTTTAAAAAGTGATTATTTGTTGTAAATAAACAGCAATAAAAAACTACTGTAATGCTGAACTTCTCAATTATCAGGAGATATGTTTAATGTGTGCGCATTACAGTAGCCAGCAGAGAACAGAGGTTTTCCAACTAAAAATTAATCAAAACTTATCTATGAACAATGTTGAAGAAGTTTAGATTCCCATGACTCATTAGACTGTACATAGAAAATGATGTATTAAACAAACAACTTGCAAAGTAATCAACACATTTCCAAAAGTTAAAAGTCAAAAGAAACTTCAGCTCAAAGAAGATATTTTGTGCACGCTTTCTACCCAAACATTACAGAAGTTGAATTTTTGAATCAATAGTTGAATTTTGAATACAAAGAAATGAGAATTGTTAACAAAATATTCACTCCAATGTAATAAAATCTATTTCAAAGGCAAATCAGCTCTAGGTTTAAGTTCTTATTCATCATGTCCTCCGTGAAGAAATATGCTTTTACCACGACATGGAGAATAATAATTTGAATAACTATATTTCCCACTGAACTCTATAAGACATGCACAGATAATGAAGTTACATTTATGTCCAGAAGCAAATAAGAGGCCATCTAAGCATTTGCTCAGAGGATCGGGGAAACTGGACAAAAAATTTGATTGAGATGGAGGTCATTGACCCAGAAGCTGAGGTCCAATACTTGTTACAGGTGCTTTAGAATTATACAGTCCAAATGGTAAATAATACATTAAATATCATTATTAAAATTCAGTATAGTCTTTAATTGTATAGAAACGGTTATGCAGCAGAAAATATTTTACTTAGGACTTAAATTTTTGTATCAATTTTAATAATTTAATGTCATCTAGCAAAGTGTTTTAAATTAATGAACAAATATTGTATGTGTTTGGTAGTGAGCTGTTGATACCTTTACCTGATGAATATGATTACTACGTTGACTGTTTTAGTTATAGACATTGGCCTTGTCTGAAAACATATTCCTGCCCCTGGGTAAGTCTTTTTTGACAAAAACCACTGATTGTAGATCAAGATTTAAGGTGATGGTAAAATTCCTAGATTAATAAAAAGAGGCTTACAAGAATCATGTGAATGGAATTTGCTTATTATTCATACAATTTTTTTTTGTAATCTGTAAGTCTGGAAGATGTAAGATGTATTTCACTGGAATACTATATCGTACCTGCGGTGCGAATGAACATTCATGAAATATACAAGCAGTATGATGGCTGACTGAAATTGAGAGAATTCTGATGCAAAGCGTAATGAACTTAATTTTGTGTTTAATTCATTTAAATGGATTTTTGAGGCATGACTGAACTGAGAAATAAAAATTCTGTTATCTTAACATCAGTCAAGAGCACACCATTCATTTTCAATGGCATACAGAATTGTTTATTTGAAATGGAAAACTGCATTGAAAGTTTTCTTTTTTTAAATTGTATTCTTTATAAGTTTGATGATGTTTAACTTTTAGTAACAAATTGGATGTCACAGTCAACTGTTATTCTGAGCAATTTGCCACACAGTACCCACAATGATAATAATGCCCACAAGAACAATCTTTTTGGAAACTAGATACTACACTACTACCTTTTTCTTCTTTTTTAAAAAAAATTATTATTATTATTATTATTATTATTATTATTATTATTATTATTATTACTATTACTTATTATTTAATGGAACTCTTCATTCAAAATTCAATGATGAGAGTAACTTAACCACAATGCATCGAGTACATATAAGAAAATTTTGAATATGTCTATGATAAGTATTGACATTCAGACCTCTATATATCTAGTCTGGCAGTTCCTGCAATAATATTTGATATATAGAAATAATTACAAAATTTTTTGCAAATACTTTGAAACAGTTCTAGTACAACTGGGTAAAATGGAAAATTTAACAATAAATAATTAAATGTTTTAATTATTTGTACCACATATTTGAGTAGTAACCTGAAATAAGTCAGTAACAGCTAATTGAACCTGTTCTGAACTGATAAACTAAAAATTCCCATGACTGACAAGTTCCCATGAAGAGGGAAGGCAGGAGTGAGCTGGAAACTGAACTTACAAAATGTGTGTGTTTCATAAACATTTATTGAATTATACAAATGTCTAGAAGAAAGTTGTATTTTCCACACTAATTATACTCTCCTTCCAAATCAAACAATACTAAATTGCTTAGAACTAATGTATAGTATATACTGTACATTTTTAATTCATAGACAAAAATTGCCAAGTCAGAAATTTTCAATATATAGATACGTTTCTAAATGGAATTTTCAAGGCTAAGGGCGACAGAAAAAAATTGATTTATAGAGAATTTCGATTTACAGAGTTTGACTATTAATTTCTAGAAATCATTAAAGAGAAATGTTGCAAATAAAAAACTCCAATAATGAAGAAACTAATGAAACAATTTAATCCAGATGGAAATACTTCACTTGACACTGACACCCTACTATGGAGAAGGGTAATTGAAGTCCATATAATACAACATAAAATGACTCACTAAAATCAGCTTTCTTGGCTTCTTCATAGCTTTGGATACAAACTTCTCATCAGACTTTAAAATCTCATTTCTCCCTTTGTACTGACTTTAACACAATTGTAAAAAGTTACAAATGCAAATACAAATATCTGTAAGATAAGACTCACCTTTGTTCAGAGAGGAGAGCTTGTTAGAGTGTACTCTTCAATGGCACAGGACCCAATCTCCCTGTATACTGATTCTCAAAGTACACTTGTAGATGAAGATTGTTTATATTTCTCTTCAACAACCTACTCTGGAGAGACCTCAAACATGACACTAAGTTGATCTTCAAAAGCTTAAAACAAATCATTAATTAAAATGAATAAGTTGCACCACATAAACAATAATAATTGTAATTATCTTTGCAAGTTTTCATTTTTGGAAGGAATCATCATCAATATTAACTTGAATTTACGATGATTATTTATTATAAAGTTTACAAATTGAAAATGGATTGAAAGGAGATTACAGGGAGAAAGAATATAAAGTGAAAACAATTTTTTGGAAATTATAACCTGCTAGACATTAATTAATATCATTGCATAGCACAATGAAACCCCAATATAAATACTGTAATTATTATTTGTAGATAAAAAGTGATATAATTTTGCCTGTATACTTCCATCTTAGGTGTTTTCAGGGTCCATAGAAGAACCAACCATATCTCTCTGGCTCCACAGACGGGGAACGCTTATCCTGACAGACACTAGGTCTCCAGAGCTATACCACAAAGGAGTTAATATTTCGTTTTGAAAGTGTGTTGGAATTTTCCTTTCATGGAGGATGGGGGCTGGGTCCATCCTCTCACGCTTATTGAGTATAATTCAAAGTCTCACACATAGCGAGCATCATGCAAACAAATAAAGACATAAAATATTTAACAATCTTTTTGGCATTTTCCAATCATGAAACTCAAAATCTCAACAATTATCCTAAACATTTCTTGCCTTATCATTTTGATTGAAGATGACAAATTGAATGAGACAGTTCAACCAAAAACTAAAAGTCTTATCTTAAAATCACGATCAACTTTCTGCCACTTAAATTCTGATAAGACCACATTATAACTTCTATGTGAACAATGAACATATTTAGTCAAATCAATTTTTGAACCAACACTTATTAGAAAAGATTAAGCCCTTTTTTTAATTAACCTATGTCACTCTAGATGAGTTGATATGCAAAATATTCTGTGCTCGGTAGCCTCTGGACAAGTAATTAGTTAGGTTGTCACTATGAGCACGAGATCATATGTGGAACCGCAATGTTCCAGGAGCTTCTGGACACGTTGCTGTGCAGACACGCTTTTGGCCTCATACTAGGAACACAAATGTGTGTGCGATATCAATATGCGTGTGAGCTCAGCTAACAACGGGCCTGCAGTGAGAAGCTGACACAGGACTAGTGACTTACAGTCGCTGCACACAACAGTTAAAAGTGTGAACAAGACCACAATAATAATTTGCTCCACCTAAAGGTTCCTTTGCTCCTCCTAAAGGTTTGCTCAAGTTGCTTGCTTTTGCTATCATTTGGAGATTTATACATTTCAGGTGAACAATCAATTATTAAAATGTACATTTTTGTTAGCATAAATTTATACGAAGGCCACTGCTTTAAATATTGTTGATGAGTAAATTAAAAAATCAAAAAAGGAAAATATTTCAATACATAGCAGTGCACAAGAAGAACATAAACAGTGAATTGCAAGACCTTTAGCTAGAAATACTAACATTATAATTTGCCATTTAATAAATAGGCAAATAATTTTAGAGCAGAACACTGTACTAGATGTCCAGGCATTTAATCTACAAGTCACATTGACCTCATGCATTTGGAAGGTTGCTCCCTCTCCCAGAGCTGTTTTTCCCCCACTCCTGCTTTACTACTCTCCGGTGGACATCTGGCTCTTGAGTGCAGAAGTAGGTGTTGTGCCAACAGAAGAAGTTGTTGTGCAGGCTGTCTAAGAAAGCATGTAATTTGGTGTAATGTAGACTCCCAGGGTGTTTTTATACAAAAATACTTAATACCAACCAGTACAGGTACCAAACAGTACAATTAAATACAATAAAATGCTATTTTGATTTACAAAAATGAAAACACTTTACAGGGGTGACAAGATCACACACCAAACATGCAGAATATCCAATACACTTCAATGGATTAAAGAAAAAATGTTGTTTGGGGGCGTTCTTTCTGAGACCAGTCTTTATAATTTCTTGAGCAGAATTCCACCCATTATAGGCCACACAGGATAATTTCAGCAATACATCTCTGAAAAAAATGAAGGAAAAAAAAAAAAAAAATAAAATAAGAAAATTAGAAATATATTGTGTGTGTGTGTGTATATGTGTGTGTGTGTGTATGTGTGTGTGTGTTGTGTGTGTATATAATACACAGAACTGTAGTGAACACACAAACTTCAAAAAATGCATTTTGTCAATTTGACTAATTACAATTTTTTTGTTTACACCAACTGCTACGCTCATTAATCCTGTTAGTGTAGTAATTTCTGTGAGTGGTGAATCCATTGCTGACCTACTCATCAGTTACATGTATTTCCCTCCAAAGGACTCTCCCTCAGCAAGCACCGCACCAGCTGGGACAAGCATTAAACTCCCAACATGTGTGTAGTGTAGTGCAAGTAATTATAAGACAAGAAACAGCAAAAAGAGGAAGGAACGATCACGTATGGAACTTGTTCATTTGTGAGGGAACTGTTCCCATTTTCCAGTAATTGATTGGAGAGAACCAAAAGCTCTGCCAAGGAGATTCCAATCTGAGCAGCTGAACTATTCCAGCTACATAAGCTAGCATCAAAAATCTTGACCATTGGACTTGGACCCTAGGACACCCAGTCTGTCGCTGCAGAGACAGTGGCAAATGTCTATTGCCAAATTGTCTTATACTTCATGCATTCTTTCTCAATTTGCGATTTTTTAAAAGAGTGCAACGAACCAACTTGCACCATTTTCCCTTCTTCCATTTGCGGGAAAAAAAAGGTTTTTGAGAAATGTGTTTTTATAAAATGCATTCAATTTCCAGAAGTCCAGACAAATTCCAGACTCGTACCACATTTTCTTTGATATTTACAAGGAGAAAATTTAAAGATAAAAATGTGTTGCTGTTTAAAGAAAAAGACTTTTAAAAAATTCCCTACATGACCTTATTTCAAGATGAACAGACTTTGTTAAGCGAAAAAAATCTCTATCTTTAATAGCATTGCGTTAGGAAGATACCCTCCAAAAATTGCACTTCTGCAATTTTTAAAAAA